CATGTTTATTTTGAAAGTACGAAATATGCAAAAAATGTAACGCTTACTTTGAATTGGCAGACTGTTCAACAGGTTATGTTATGTTCACTCTCTACTAGACTAGGATGAAAGGGACAGTCTCCCACTATTTATTGACATTTTTGAGATCAGATTTGTGCACTGGAATCCTCTATATTTCTTTAAAAGAAAAAGAAAAAAGGGTGAACACTAGAAGACAAGTATTAGGGATATTAATCTGAGAATTTTATCTCTGTCAGTAACAAGCTGTGAGGCCTTTAGAAAGCTGTTTAGTAAGTTTGGTTTAATTATGTGCAACTCTGAAGGAAGTATTAAGAACAGATTTTTCTTTAACTTTTTACAGCCTTAAAGTTCTTTGATTCTTTTTGTGCTAGGACATCTATAATGAGAAGTTCCTTATGTTGTTTTCTTCAATTTGGTAATTCATCAACATGCATTTATCAAAGGTCTACTTTGTCTCAGCACCTGTAACTGAAATTTAGAACTGAAGACACACAAATCCAGTTGAGGGACAATGAAATAATTATGGGAAGAAACAAAACCATGTGTCATGGAACTGTTAATCCAGCGTCTTTCAGCCTCCTGAAGGATATTTGCCTGTCTTCCCTCCAACTTCCAAACCCTCTATATCCATTGCTTTAAGGCATTTTCCTTTACTCCTGAGAGAACCAAAATCTACATTCAGTCTTTTTTCAATTTATTTTATTTTTTTATAAATTTCTTTTTTAAGGTATCATTGATATACAATCTTATGAAGGTTTCACATGAGCAACATTGTGGTTACTACATTCATCCATATTATCAAGTCCCCCCCACACCCCACCACAGTCACTATCGATCAGCATAAGATGACACAGAGTCAGTACTTGTCTTCTCTGTGCTACACTGTCTTACCTGTGACATCCCCCCACCCCAATACCATGTGTGCCAATCATAATGCCCCTAATTCCCCTTTTCCCTCCCTCCCCACCCAAACTGCCCCACCCCTCCCCTTGGGTAACCACTAGTCCCTTCTTGGAGTCTGTGAGTCTGCTGTTGTTTTGATAATTCAGTATTTTTTGTTGTTATACTCCACAGATGAGTGAAATCATTTCATACTTGACTTTCTCTGCCTGGCTTATTTCACTGAGCATAATACCTTCTAGCTCCATCCATATTGTTGCAAATGGTAGGATTTGTTTTCTGCTTATGGCTGAATGATACTCCATTGTGTATATGTACCACCTGTTCTTTATCCATTCATCTACTGATGGACACAGATTGCTTACATAACTTGGCTACTGTAAACAGTGTTGCAATAAACAGAGGGGTGCATATTTCTTTTTGAATCTGGGATCTTGTTTTCTGTGGGTAAATTCCAAGGAGTGGGATTCCTGGGTCAAATGGTATTTCTATTTTTAGTTTTTTGAGGAACCTCCATATTAATTTCCACAATGGTTGAACCAGTTTACCTTCCCACCAGCAGTGTAGGAGGGTTCCCTTTTCTCTGCATCTTGCCAGCATTTGTTGTTCCCATTCTTTTCTATGTTGGCCATCCTAACTGCTGTGAGGTGATATCTCATTGTGGCTTTAATTTGCATTTCCCTGATGATTAGCGATATGGACCATCTTTTCATGTGCCTGTTGGCCATCTGAATTTCTTCTTTGGAGAACTGTCTGTTCATATCCTCTGCCCATTTTTTAACAGGGTTATTTGCTTTTTGGGTGTTGAGGCATGTGAGTTCTTTATATATTTTGGGTGTTAACCCCTTGTCAGATATGTCATTTACAAATGTATTCTCCCATACTGTAGGATGCCTTTTTGTTCTGCTGATGGTGTCCTTTGCTGTACAGAAGCTTTTTAGCATGATGTAGCCCCATTGGTTCATTTCTTATTTTGTTTCCCTTGCCCAAGGAGATGCATTCAGGAAAAAGTTGCTCATGTTTACATTCAAGAGATTTTTGCCTTTGTTTTCTTCAAAGAGTTTTATGGTTTCATGACTTACATTCACGTCTTTGATCCATTTTGAGTTTACTTTTGTGTATGGGGTTAGACAATAATCCAGTTTCATTCTCTTACATGTAGGTGTCCAGTTTTGCCAACACCAGTTGTTGAAGAGGCTGTCATTTCCCTATTGTATATCTATGGCTCCTTTATTGTATATTAATTGACCATATATGCTTGGGTTTATATTTGGGCACTCTAGTCTGTTACATTGGTCTGTGGGTCTGTTCTTGTGCTAGTACCAAATTATCTGGATCACTGTGGCTTTGTTTATGGTTTGAAATTACATTTGAAGCATATTGACTCGGTAAATAATGTCTCACCATTAATAATTAAAATGCCAATAATTATCATAAAGATAATGCCAATTTAAAAAATATACATAATAAACAAAATTTTAAAAAATATTAAAATCCCTTTTTAATAAATGGTCACTTTCAAAGAAATTCTTAAAACTGAATTTAAAAAGTATTCAGTTAATCTCACTTGATGGTTATATGCTTCTCATGTGTGTAAGTACACAGTAGTCTTTTTATCACTGAGATATGGAATTTCTGCTTTGTGCATTATTTAGAGCACATTTAGATTCCAACCTGGTTTTCCTTTGCACTCAGTACACTATATTGCACTGCTTCCTTCTGAACGAATTGATACAATGAGCTGATGTAAATTATTTTCACTGTTAGGCTGAACTAATATTAACCTACAACAATATAGAAAAGTATACCACACATAGGCATAGAGTGCTGAATTTCAATGTTTAACATCAAAGATTTTTAGTTCTATGTAATTTTGCATTGGCTGTCCCATTGCTCCCTCCCATGGTCTGGACACTCAGGGCTGCTGGGCATAAACCCCTCCTGCTGACTGCTGCTAGAGGGCGGTGACTATGGGAACGGGCCCCAGCAACCCGGGACTACCCACTGCTCATGATTCTACCTCCGTGTCATTGCTTCCTCACTTGCCCTGCTGGGAACAGTTCCCAACATTTTAATTATAAAAGTGCAGCTCCTCTTTTAAGGCCTGGGTCAAATGCTCTAAATTTTATTAAGGCCTTTATTTATATTCTATCCATAACTACTCTAGTATCCAAATTTCTATACAATTAATATCTCTTTGATGACTCATCAAATTCTGTCTGGTATTGGATTTTACATAACTCTTATCCCATCTCCACCTAGGTTATAAGGTCTTTGGAGAAGGACTATCTTTGTAGCCTTGACAATGCCAAACCCAAAATCATATGAAATATAAGTGCCTGTTAAATGTCACGTGAATTTCCCATCATCCCTTATGGTAACACAGCATTGTACCTTTGCTTCTGTTTGCATTTTCTCCTAATAATGCTCTTCCTCTCCCTTTCTTCTCTTATAATCCTGTCCATTCATTGACTCTCAACCTGAAAGCATTTTATTGTGCTCCAAATCTACATATAATCCCTCATATGAAACTCCATAGTGCTTATTTGTTCTTGCATTATGCTACTTTTCATTTCCACCTTTTATTATAGTTTTCATATATACTATATACTTACTTTCCTAGGCTGTAAACACTCAAAAGACAGTGAATAGAATCTTATTTATTTTCTGTTTCCCACAGTGCTGTGCATATAGCAAGTGCACAGTAAATGTTTATTGCATGACTAAAGGTTTGCAAAGAGTTGTAGAAGAACAGCATTCCTGCATAAGAACTGGAGATTCCATGCAGAAATAGGCTGCTGCGCCCTGCTATAGAAGTTTTAGGCAAGGCTGATGGTCAATCAAGAAGAGGGGGCAGAAAATGCTATCTCTGCATCCAGCCCTGTCATATTTGCAGCAGGAAGTTGCTAGGATGTTATGATTAAGGGGTTCCTTCAGGGTGGCTCTGTATCAGTCCATTTCATTGTCCATGACCCACTATCATAGAATCTGCTGTTTAAATCTGAATTAATATTTTTATTTTAGAGAGTCTCCTATTAAAATCTGGAAATAGTTTGTGAATGCTAATACATACAATTAATACCTTTGTTATCTGTGAGCATCCTGACCATTATTTTAAAGAAAAGTTGTGGGGAAGTTGGAGAGAGGAATTGATGGGAGCGAAAAGAGGACAGGACCAGAAGAAAGGTAAAAGCTGGTGCTGTTGAAACTGGAATGCTCCTGGACAGATTTCAATTTCACTGTTGCTAGGGTACAAGCAAGCTATGAAACCGTGCCCTGGAAGCTGTGGTCCAGATATTCAGTGACCCCATTTTTTAGCCCTCTATTTCCTACCTATTAATTATCTCACTTAGGAGCATTCTTGCCAAGCCTTTAAACTACTTATAAGATAGGTATAAATACTCTGATTTTCAAATGAGAACATTGAGATTCAGAAAGGTTAAATTACATACTCACAATTGGCTATCTAGTAAATAGAAAGAAAAAGGTTTGAACATAAAATACACAGTTTTCCTCCTATATTGTGCTTGCTCACTCTTCAAGTAGATGGCTTTCATTAGTCAGCTGGGCATGGGAGAAGGCGAAGGAAGATTTAGAAATGTTTTCCTATAAGGTTTGTATATTCTCATTGCTATTACCATGGCATTATTTAAAAAACTCAAATTGCTATGGAAAACTCATTGTTACCTGCTTTCTGACTTGGCCTCGATAAAGAATAGGACAAGGAAACAAGATGGCTTATCTTCCATCTCTCACCAAGAAGAAATTTAGCTAGTGTCTGTTTTTGTACAAAAGGAAAATCAAATGAATCTGTGATATGCAAATGAATCTCTCAACTGTTGTTAATTTCTACTGTTTACTCAAAAATGGGAAACACCGAGCCTGTGATACATCATCTTTTGTGCGCTTGGCACTTTCCATCATGAATCCGATTAATCCCCTTAAACTAACAAGGATTAATTGCCTTGGTAAGGCAACCTGGCATTGAAATGATATATTGCCCAGACAGCTTGGAATTTGGCCACTTATAAATCTCATTTGTTTGTTGGCTTATTTCTGTTTGTCTCTTTCTCTGACAGATGTGTGCCCAATCACTGCGAGCATGGTGGGAAGTGCTCACAGACGTGGGACAGCTTCAGATGCACTTGTGATGAGACAGGATACAGTGGGGCCACCTGCCACAACTGTGAGTGCCAGTTCATCTCCCTCTAAACACGTATGCATGAGAATCCCAGGTCTTCAGTCACACTTTAAAGCTCAGCAACCTGAATAATCCACATATTAAATCACTTAATTCTGAGGAATCCAGATTTTCTTGTTTCTTCCCCAGAATAGTGTTCCAGTTGTCAAAATATATTGTCCTGTCAAATGACTCACAAAGAAGGACCCGCATCGCCGGTGTTCTGTAAACATGTAGTTGAGATCGGAATGCTGGCCTTGATTTGCCTCCGCACGACTGAGTCGTCTCTATCTGGAAAGACAGCAGAACTGTGTTAGCGGAATGTCTCTGGCTGGATCCTCATCTATCACTTCATAGGAGGGGCAGACAGAGTGTAATTCGAGCATTTAGTTTCTGGACAATAGTCATTTCATGCTCTATCACAACTTTGTGGCCACATTTTTAGATAGCAAACTGAGTTAAAAAAGTGGAATGGATTCCATTAAGTTGTATATCTGAAAAACACAAAAAGGAAAAAATTTTAAATGCTAAAAATAAAATGTAACAGGCAGAGATGACTAGTAAAACACAGTTGTGTCTTGTTTCACATAATAGCTTTACCCTGAAGAGTTACATAAAAATTAGATTTTTGTAATTGGAAGAATATTGTAAGCGAATAACTCTGTAATTGTGACATTAATTTTCCCAAAATGCATTGCTGTTTACAAAGCACATTTGAAACAGATTTGCCAAAAGACGTATAATTGAGCGAAGGTGGTCATCCGTTTGGTGTGTGCGTGCGTGTACATGTGTGTGGGGGGCGGGTATGTAGGGAGGAAGGAAGAGGGAAAGAAAAAGATTCCATCTCCTTCTCTTCTGTCAGTGTGCTGAAAAACTGAAATCTAGTATCTAGCCCTCTAATTACACAGGCTGCTTTCTCTTCCCTTCACTTTTAGGAAACAATGAGCAGCAAAATATTACCAGACTAAAGTAGTAGGGACAGTAAAATGCAATACAGTTCTCTGAGCTTTTCGTGTCCTTGTTTGTAGTAACGTACAGTAAGAAAGTGCATTCAGAATATATTGTAAGGCATCAACTACAATAAAAATTGAAACTTACTTTATTGAACTTACTCATTTGTTAGGAAGGTGTTCAAAAACAAGAGACAAAAAGAACCGGAAAAAATGACATTAATAGAAAGATGTACAAGAAAAAAGTAGACAGTCAATTCATTGTCTGTGAAGTACTTATATATAGGTATACAGAAAAGTGTTTTAATGAATAAAGAACAAAACTAATACTGATATGAATCAGAATAAAGCAGTTATAACTAAAATTTTTCCTTTCCAATCCAATCAAAATTAACTTTCATCATATGGTATTCATTGTGCGAGAAATGATACTTGAGTTAGGTCACTGATGAAAGCACCTTTACTCCACCAGCAGCATTCGTATGATGTGTTATAAGTACCACCTTTAACTGCAGGGGATCTTGTTTCTGAATATGGAAATTCTAACTATTCTAAAGACAAAGATCAGGAAACCTGGGGTGGGGGTTGGGGGGTGAGGTTGTTGTAGGGATTGCCTTTCTCAATGACTGCTTTGATGCTGAATTTAAAAGAAAGTAATAATTTTTTATGGTTGCTTCCTTCTTTGAAATACACAGCGAAGAAGATTTTTAAAATACAAAAAAAATTTGAATTAAAATATTTGCTACTGGTTAAATAGCTGGCTTTTTTAAAGAGTAATTAACTCCCAAGTGTTAGAAATGTCCTAATTGTGGTTAGCTTGTGGCGAGCTCTAAATGTAGAAGGGAGAAATCATCTCCTCCCTGGTGCTCATTCCTGTTCATTCCTTGTTCCGTTTTTGTATCTATGAAAGCAGAATCATTCATTTTAACAACAAAAACCTGATCTCTTGTTGTCCTTCTCTAAACAAGACCAAAATCTTGAGAAATCAAGTATGTGCATAAATAGAGATTAGAAGACCATAGTCCTAATTCAGGAAAGGGTCCACTGGATGTTATTTGTGTTGTAAAAAGTCTATCTTGTAGCTTTTTGAAGAGTACATGATTACTGATAAGCTGAAAGACTTGACATATCTTTTCATTGCTCCCACGGATTAGTTAAAAATCAGGAGGGTCTGGCCCAGCACATAATAATGTAAAAATATTTAATATATGCCACTCAGTTTGATATGAAATGAACAAATTTGCCTTTTTGCTTAGTGAGTACATTCGCAGCAAGAGCAGTCAGTGAGCCGGCGCGTGCTGTGGGGGGACCCTGCCCTGCCGCCTGCTGCAAGCGCTCCGCCTTCTCTCCGACTTTCTTATTCCTTTATTGACTAAATGGCCACTGAGGCTGTTTACAGTTTTAAAAGTCAGTGAGCTGCAGCTTCCAGTCGCCTATTCTGTGTTCTGTGGTTTTAGATTGTGTTAGTATTATTTAATACTTCACCTCATTATTTTCTGTAATAGAGCTGTGGTAATTGTGTAACAGTACTACTTTCAAAAGGTGAAGAACAGCCAACTAAAGTCTAAAGAAAGGGTAATATAAGTAAATATTGAGTAGAGTTCAAACTTTACAGCGGGGCTCCCTCCTATTTCATCGTATTCTCTACACTGGTCTGGGCTTGGTCAGGATGAGACAGCTATTTCTGGGGTGTCCGTAGTTCACGGTGGAACCCAGAGGCCCTTTTTGATAGGTTTCCTGCCTGAGTTTGAACTTCCCTGCCCCACTTACTGACTTGTGACCTTCAGCACTTCACCTCTTTGAGCTCCACTTTCCCCCTGCTGAGCGAGTATAGTAAAAGGACACTCATGAAGCCGTGAGATTAAATGAGATAATTCATGGGAGACACTGAAAGGAGCGTTAGCATGTGGAAGGACTTAGTAAATTTTTGCCACTCCTTCCCTTTCATAGCAGTCATCTCTTTGCTCTGAGCTTCTTTACCAGTAATTGTCCATATCACACAATTTGTTGCTTAATTTCCTGCTGCCAGTCGTTGTTTTCTGTTGTCATTTCCATGGTGTATTTGGGCTTGAAGTGAATCATTGATTTGCATAGGATTTTTCACCGGGAAGAACTGAAGAGAATTAAAAGTGATCTGTGTATATCCTAGATGTATACACACACACACACACACACACACACACACACACACACATATATATAATTGTTTATATATGGAGAATTAATTTTCAAGCAAATTCTGTCTAAGGCTCAGAGAATTGTTATTTACAGACCACACCTGAGGAGTCAGGACATCCTCCTCTGGGCAAGGAAATCCCACAGGAAAAGCCAGAGACCGTCAGAGACGGTCAGATCATGGCAAAGGGAAATTAGTCCTTCTTGTCCTAAAACTAAAGAGCTTAGTTTGTGACAAAATGCACATACATCATATTGTCGTGATTTACACTTCTTGGATTTTCTTATGCTGATAATCCATTCTGTGAATGCCTAAGAACTGTCTAAGCATATCAGAACATAAAACCATGGCAAAGAGAGCTGAATGATGCTGCTGAATAGTTTATTTGTTTTGTTATATTGCCTTATCCCACTTCACTCTCCCAGAAATATAAAATATATCTTTCTTATGAGCAAAGCTTCATGTTTATAGCTACAGTCTTTCTCTTAGTGGTGCTATGTATACAGGCACTTTTCAATTGGTCTCCAAGCTTACTTTCCAGTACATCAAGTGCTCTTTAGCATCTCATCATCTCATTTTTTATGTGTTTCTTATACTTCATAATTATGGCTTTAATTTACATAAATTAAATCCAAAAAGCTATCCTTTATCTCAGGGCCTAGTAGATAGTTTTCTCATGCTGCTGGGATCTATCTTTGACCTCAGTCATTCTTACATATAGTATTAGTCCCTTATGTGGAATTGCCATAAAAATCCACAGAATATCCTTAATAATATGAAAACTTTTAGCCATCTTCACAAGTATTTGTGAAAGGAGACTATTTGACAGATAAAAGCAATGTTTTGGGGTAGAACTTTATAAAAACTGTTAAATGCCAGATCATCATTCTGAGAGAAAATATTTTTCCAGATACCTTTTTATTAAAGGAGAGATTCTCACCAACCCAGATATATAGACATGACTGTTTTCAGAAATAGCAAGATGAGCTAAGCTAAGTGACCTATATAGATATCTTGCACTTTTAAAATTAATGTGATTTCTGAATTCTGAAATACTAAGAAGGCCAGGTACTTCTTAGCAAAATTTTCTTTTTTTCTACAAATAAACCGCCACCATGAGCTTTGGTGGGGGCGGAGGGCTTTTTGGCTTCTTAGTCATCCAATGTACACTTTGGCAAACAGACCAGTTTACAGACTTCTTTGCAAATAAGTATCCATTTCTCTTTGTGGCATCAGGCAAGGGAGATTCACGCTTGTACTTTGGTAGTTTGTCTAAGGTGGCATTTTCCCACATGTAAATGTTTGGCTCTACAAGTGTGCGCCTGGTGATGAGGGAATTGATGGCACCCCTGCCCTTGCAGAGCCCACTCTAGGTGGGGACGCACACCTCCACCCAGCCAGCTGCTGCGGAGGTGTTACCATACAAATGCAAAACTAAAATTTTTTACTAGCCAGTGTTACAGGAAACACTGAAATTTAAAAGGAAACTCTTCTACATGCTGCATCCAGAGCTACTACTCTGAGTCCGTAAATTAGTAAACCATAAAATACACTATACCTTACTACTGCACACAGGAAAACCCGAGTGGGTGCCATTAGCTCACAGCATGTTATTTGTAATCCTTTATACTCATAAGTAATTTAATTCAAGCATAATTTGTAAAAAGAAATTAATCCTAGCTGATTATAGTCACATTAACTAAGGGCATAAACACCTAGAATTATTGGCACCAGGAAACTTGGCGTCTCCTCCATGTGAAACTACCACAGTCTTAGGTATCAAGACAAGTTGGAATTTGAGCATTGCTAACCCTGCCTCCCCGCCACCCCCAGAAAAACAGTCATTGAATAGTTTCATGGCCTTACAGAATTGAATCCAT